ACTTTTCAGGGATGTGCATCTGGGTGATCGCAAGCCGACGCAACTGCTTCGTCAGATGAAGCAGCTGATTGCTGACTTCAACATTGATGAAGCATTTCTCAAGCAACTGTGGTTACAGAGGTTACCACAGTCGGTTCAAGGGATCCTCGCACCCTTCCATAAGTGTCCCTTAATAGAGCTGGCGGAAGCGGCTGACAGAGCTGTGGATGCTACGAAACCCAACACTAGTATCTCAGCTGCACTGTCTACTGCCACGGATTCGTCCAAAAACCCACATCCTCCCTCGGCTGTTGAGCCAACAAGTTTCGATGTTATAGCTCACATCTCAAATTGTATGAGAGTTGTGCAGCATCAGGAACGAAATGCGGTCTGGTAGTTCTTTCAACGGTCGCACGTCTCGCTCGCGCAACAGGTCTGCCTCCCGTACCGGTAGCAGACGTTCCAAATCGCGACAATCCCAACCCAGGTTGTGCTGGTACCATAAACGTTATGGTGCCAATGCCAAAAGGTGCACTCGACCTTGCACCTTCGAGGCTAACCAGGCGGGAAACGTGTGAGCCAGCACGTGACGGCGACTAACGTCGCTGGCGAGCCACTTCCATGTCGCCTCTTCTTCGTCACTGATCGACATTCTGGGATACGCTTCCTAGTTGACACTGGGGCAGAAGCTAGCGTCATCCCACCTACGAAGGAAGAGCGTCTGCGGCCAATGTCTCTGCAACTTCGTGCCGCCAACGGTTCGCCCATCACAACCTATGGTCGGAGATTCCTCGATCTCAACCTTGGATTGCGTCGTCCCTTTCGTTGGGTTTTCATAGTGGCAGATGTGACCACCGGCATTATTGGTATGGATCTCTTGCAGCACTATCAGCTGCTGGTAGATGCTGGCAAGCATAAGTTGATAGATTCTACCACAACACTCTCTGTTTCCGGTATAGTCACAAAGACGCCGCCCCTCAGTCCCGTGTACTGCACGACGGACGCTTCTAGTCCCTACGCGTCTATCATTCAGTCCTTTCCGGATGTCTTTAAGCCAAGTCGTTGTGTCCCTTGTGTGACTTCGAACGTTTCTCATCACATAACGACGACTGGCCCGCCAGTGTTTGCGAAACCACGGCGATTATCCCCGGAGAAACTGCGTGCTGTAAAAGCCGAGTTCGAACACATGCTTGAAATGGGAATAATCAGACCATCCAACAGTCCATGGTCTTCACCCTTGCATGTGGTACCCAAGAACAATGGCATGGACTGGAGGCCTTGTGGTGACTACCGAAGGCTCAACGCTAAAACGATTCCAGATCGTTACCCAGTCCCTCACATTCACGACTTGACTGCATCTTTAAAAAGCTTGACTTGACGCGTGCATATCATCAGATCCCGGTTCATCCTGATGATGTTCCCAAGACAGCCGTCATTACACCGTTTGGTCTTTTTGAGTTCCTCCGTATGCCTTTTGGTCTTCGCAATGCAGCACAAACCTTCCAACGTTTTATTCACGATGTTTTACGTGGACTCGATTTCGCCTATGCCTACCTAGACGATATACTAATCGCTAGTCCTGACGAAGACACCATTTTAACCACTTGAAACAGGTTTTCGCCAGACTGTCAGAGCATTCGATGACAGTCAACCTGGCCAAATGCCAATTGGCGTTCGTTCACTAAAATTTTTGGGACACGTTATCGACGAGCAAGGCATTCGCCCACTACCTGAAAAGGTACAGGCGATCCAAGACTTCCCAGTCCCAGCGTCACTTAAAGCTCTGCGTGTGTTTCTGGGTATGGTGAGCTATTATCGTCGCTTCGTTCCCCAATGTGCACACATTTTGACTGCACTGACCGACCTGCTGAAAAGTAAATGTAAAACTTTCAGCTTGACTCCTGAGGCACTAGAAGCATTTCGCAAGATCAAAACCGCAATAGCAGACGCCACGATGCTGGTGCATCAAGACGTAAACCTACCTCTTAGCATTGCGGTTGACGCCTCTAACACGGCCATTGGAGCTGTGTTGCAACAACTTTCGGATCACACTTGGATCCCAGTTGCATTCTTCTCCCGGAAGTTATCCACCTGCGAAATGCGGTACAGCACTTTTGGCAGGGAACTGCTCGCCATATATGCCTCAGTGAAACATTTTCGTCATTTTGTGGAAGGTCGTGATTTCATCATCTTTACCGACCATAAACCTCTGACGTATGCCTTACACACCACTACTGACAGATATTCACCGCGTGAATTACGTCACCTAGACTATATTTCGCAATTCACGTCGGACATCCGTCATATTTCTGGTGTGAATAACCCTGTTGCAGACGCACAGTCTCGCGTTTGCACCCACGTCTTTGTGCGTTGTGACGGGGTACGTATACCCTTACAGCCACCATACGACGGACCTTTCAAGGTTCTCAGTAAGAAAGAAAAGTTTTTCATCATTGACAGATCTGGACGGCAGGATTCTATAAGTGTCGATCGTTTGAAGGCAGCTTATATAGAGGACGACCCACCTTCCTCTACACCGACACAACTAGAAACACCCTTGCCGCCAGACTCCCAAACAGACTCGTCTAGTCGCGCGTACCCTGAATCTTCTAAAAGAGCCACCCAAAGTAGCACTGATCCAGTACCCTCTGCACGTGCTGGGAGGCGTGTACATTGGCCCAAACGATACGCCGATTTCGTTAAGTAGCCCCAATGCAACTTCACATTTGGTAAAGTCGGAGTTCCAACTATTTTATCGTGGCATGCACTATCAATGCGTTTTCATATCTAAAGTTTTCACAAGTTTTGTTCACTACTTTGAAAACAAAGTTTTTATTTTTAAAAAAACAACCCATAAATACAATTAAAATTTCGAAAACTTTTTTTGGTCGGTTATTATCATTATTTTTTTCTGTACTCCTCCCACTTCGAATTGTTTGGTTTTTCTTTTCTTAGCACTCTAATGCCCTATTTCTTTCTTCTTGCAGAACCTAGAAAATGCGTTGAAAATTGGATATAATTGGCCGCTGACGATGCTACTCGGATCGTTCTTCGGTTCTCTTTGTACCAATTTCCCCCTGTACACTCCTCGGTAGATTAAGAAGCAATAGGGAAAAGTAGACGGAGGCTTTGGGTCACCTTCCACCACTGCGAGAAGGGTTGCGTCTAGACGCAAAGTTCTCTTACCTCGTAGGTGTGCATAGTTGCACTAGCTTCGGAGACCCACACGTCACCTACTCCATCACCAATATAGAAAGGTGTTGCGTGTCCGCCTCGCAGTCACCTACTAGGATCGAAGGTTGCCGGTATCCCAACAACCTTCTAGGAGGGAAGATAACCTGTGGTGCACCTTCCTGGCACCAAAATATAACTAGGGCTAAAATAAATAGTTCAAATTAAATTAACTAAATAAATCTCTAGCTTGCCTCCGGATGCTTAGGGTGTTTTAAGTTTTGTTTTAACGAGCATGCATCCGAGCAGGCTTGGACGCCATTTTGCGCTCCAGTGTGCTGATTACCATGCACGTACTCAGAGTCCATAGTTCAGCCTTACAAGCCAGATAAGTTGATTAAACTGTTCCCCATCCACTACTATTATATTTACCTTGATTAAATACATTGCTTCTTCAAATATATTCCTGTGTCAGTTATTTTGATTTGTGTTTTGTTATCAGTACTTACACGTTAGGTAAAGTACTGGTTACGCAGGTACTAGAGCACATCAAGTTAAGTAGGGTTGATCAAACGTTACGGAATTGTAACACGCACCCCTACAAGCCTACGGTGAATATTACAACTTTTGTCTGTATCCTAGTGAATATCAACTTTAACAGCGGAAACCTTTTGATTTATATTCGCGTCATCTGACTTTAAAATCCTACACAAAACTCATAAATATTTCTCCTAACTTATTGATTTTATTGTTAGAAAGTTGTAAGCTTTACACCCACAGAAAATAACAAATTGATTGCAGCTCTGAAATGTCAGTCTCTTCATATTAAAAAACAAGAAAAGAACATAACTTTACCCGGGCCTATGCTTTCTACCATCAACATAGCATGAAAATACTATTTATCTAAATCTAGCTCCTCTATAAAGTTTCATAAAAGAAACACTTATTTTGTGGGAAGATGATGTGGTATACTTTTTGCAGGATGAAATTAACTCAAAGTAATGTGTTTCAAAGAATTCACACTTAGTTTCTGAGTTCCCATGTCAAATAAGGTCTGTTTGTCTTCAGATTAATGTTATTCGCGCCTTAGCAAACTTTGCCACATCGTTTATTTGTCAAGAATTTATGGCGAGATATCCAGTTAAAAAACACCAGTAATCCGCAAGGTTTATTCTGGTAATCTGCCCCACAAATTTAAAGACCTAATGATGGCTTTAATCATACTGGTTCTATAATAAAGACCTGACGACATGTGGACCAATTGGAAATACCCCTAAAATACAATTTTCGGTTACTTTTAACTGAAACTTGTTGTTCTGAGTCGACAGCGATATACTTATTGACCATTAAATTCAGATATAGATGTGAGGAAGGCTTTTAATAAAAAAGGTATATGCTAGTGACTTTTTCAATTTACCATTATGAATTAAAATAATATATTAGATGAGAGTAGACTAGTTCATATCAACACATGAAAAGTATATCCTCCAGCCCTTATAACATTCAGTAACCACTACTTTAAAGGCCTATTGTTTGAAGATTAGTGATTTATAAGCAAGTTGTTCCATATCTCATGTGCAGATTACAAAATCTTTAAATATAGAATGAAAATTTTCCATAGGTATGTGGAATGATGAATTTAATATGACATCAAATTTTGTCAATAAGAATATCTGATGAACTACTGACCATGAACTAAAATTCAGAAAGGTTTCCAATTTTATACCAAAGTTTTGAAAAGAGATAAATGAAACTTATAACTACATGAAAAGGATAACAAACCATTTTAATAAAAATGGCAATATCGTAATTCATAAACGTTATGAAAGTTATTATCTAGTCTAACTTACTTGACATAAGTTCTTGATCAGCATCCCATTTGTTGTATCGCTCTATTTGTTCCTGGAAAGACAAGGAGCATTACTGTGAATAAGTAGCATACTAATCGAATGGCAGAAAATAAGACTGCCTTTTGATGTTCGGTTAATGCATCTAGTATTTCCGGTTCCACATGCATGCTTTTAACCATACGGCGAAAAATATCGTTCCTCGATGATTCCTGCATTATACTAACTTGGTGAACTGCGAATAATGTATATCCAGTGTAGCGAAAACTAAACGTACTTTTGAAAGCAGAGCTGCTTTTCAGTAAGAGAGAAAACATTCACAAATCTAAAACTTCATGTCCAATAATTATTATTATTATTGTTATTAGTTCCTTGGGTTCCTAATGGAACATAGGGCTTTACTAGCACGTCTCCAGTGAACTCTGTTCTCTGAAATCTTTTGAACCTGGCTCCACGACATCCCAGAAGCTCTCATTTCCTCCTCCATGTCACCCTCGGACGTCCAACTCGTCGCTTCCCATGCGGATTCCACTAGAGCATCTGGCCTGACGCGTGATGTCCCCAGTCGGACTTCTCAGTGCATGGCCAATCCATCTCCACTTCCTCTTGCATATTTGTTGGGTGATAGGTTCTTGGTTGAGTCGTTCCCAGAGCTCCTTGTTGCTTATTCTTTCTGGCCACCTCATCTGATCTTAAGTATCAAGCCAGCGTAGGTGGCAGTTGTTGATGAATGCCTGTAGTTTGTTGGAAATGCCTTTCGTGACGCGCCAAGTCTCTGAACCATACAGGAGCACTGACTTGACGTTGGTGTTGAAAATCCGGATGTTGTTCCGCATGCTAAGTGCAGATCTCCACACTGGTTTCAGGCTAATGAACGCCTGTCTTGCTTTCCGATTCTGACTTTGACATCCTCGCCTGTCCCACCTGTTGTTGAAACGGTGCTTCCTGCCTAGATAGGTGAAAGAGGTAACTTCCTTTAAGTTTCTCCCATTGATGGTGACTGGAGTTTGTTGTTGTTGTTGTTGTTGGAGTTGTTGGTGCGGTATCTTCATCACCTCTGTCTTCTCCATATTCATTGAAGTCCCGTCTTTGGTGCCTCTTCTGTCAACTTGTTAGTTTTCGCCTGTAGATCTTCAAGTTTGTGTGACATCAGACACAAGTCATCACTGGCGAAATCCAGATCTTCTAGGTTCTTTTCCTCGGTCCAGCGTATCCCGTCTTCTCGCTCCTCATTGTTTGTTGCATGATCCAGTCCACCACAATCAGGAATATCATGGGTGATAGTAGACAGCCTTGTTTCACTCCTGTCTCCTGTCTCCACTTCAAAGATATCAATGAGCTTCCCATTGTGAATTACTTGGCATGTGGTGTCTTCATATACTTGTTGAATGGGGTTGATAAAGGTTTGTGGTATTCCGTAGTATTGAAGCGGTTTCCAAATTACTTCTCGGTCGACGCTGCCAAAGGCCTTCTCAGAGTCGACAAAGTTGAGGTAGAGTGTAAACTGCCATTCTATACTCTATTCTATGATGATGCGAAGCGTTGCAATTTGGTCTGCACATGATTTGTACTTCCTGAATCCAGCCAGCCTGCCTGTTCCGGTCGTAGTTTTGAATCCAGTGCATGCTTTAGTCTCTCCAGGATGATGCGGCTTAATATTTTGCTTGCTTTGAGTGGACAGGAGCATGATTCCTCGCCAGTTCTTGCAAACACTGAGGTCTCCTTTCTTCGGCAGTTTGACAAGGTAACCCTTCTTCCAATCGCCACGTACCTTCTCTTCCTTCCACACCTTCTGCAATAGTGGTGTGAGCATGTCTGCTGTTGTCTCTGCATCTGCTCTGAGTGCTTCTGGCGGTATCCCATCTGCTCCTGCTGCTTTCCCACATTTCAGTAGCTTTATGGAGTTCAGGACTTCCATTTTTGTTGGAGGATTTATGTTCACTTGTAGTTCAGCTGCTGTAGGTGGTATTTCTGGACGAAGTGCAGGTGGTGGTCGATTCAAGAGCTTCTTGAAGTAGTCCGCCCATTATTTCCTCTGTTTCTCTTCTTTTGTAATTAAATTTCCTTCTTCATCTTTTATTGGTTTCATCTGTGTTGATCTCCACCCAGATAGCAACCTGGTTATTTGATATGTTGTCAGGTCTCTCTTACCTGAAGCCTGTTCTGCTTCACTTGCCAGTGTTTCGTAGAAGTGTCTTTTGTCTTTGCATGCACTCTTCTTCACTTCTTTGCTCAGTGTTTTATACATTGTGCTCAGTTCTCCCTGTCGTTGAGCATCCCTGCACTGGTTTATCTTCTGCTTCACCATCCTCCTCTCCCTGCTTGGTCAGTTTCCATGTATCCATTGAGATCCATTCCTTATCTTCTTTCTTCTTCCTTCCCAACACGGCTGTGCAAGTTTCTTTCCACATCTCTTTCAAAGAGTTCCAGTGTTCTTCCACACAGGTTTCTTCAGGGATGTTCCTCGATATCTCCCATTTTGTCTTGATGGCTGCCGTGAAGATTTCCTTTATAGTTTCATCCTTCAGTTTCTGAGTGTTGTACCTGAACTACGGTCTATCACCGGCTTCCTTGAAGGCTTTTAACTTGATTTTGAAGGCAGGTTCCTTGCACCAGATAGTGGTCTGAACCTACATCTGCTCCTCTTCTTGACCTTGTGTCCAGTAGGCTGGCTGCGTCTCCATTTTCTTGAGATTGAGATAAAGTCGATCTGACTTTTAGTGTTTCCTGGTGTCTGGTGAAATCCATGTCGCTTTGTGGATATCCTTGTGCTTGAACACACTGCCTTCAATCGCCAAATCGTTGAATGCACAGAATTCTGCAAACAATTATCCATTCTCGTTCATCAATTCACCTAGCGCTTCTCGACCCATGGTTAGTTCTCTTCCTGTGTTGTCCACCCCCAGTTTGGCATTCATGTCACTCCGCCCATTAGAATTTTGATATCGCCAACTGACGTCTTGTCCAGTGTTGATTGAAGTTGTCTGTAGAATTCCTCCTTCTTCTCTTGCTCTGCATTATTTGTAGGTGCATACCATTGTATGATTGTGACCTTCCTTCCTTTTGAGTTGAATGTTGCCTACATGATCCTGGAGGAGATTGGTTCCCACTGCATGAGATCCTTCGATGCTCTTGAGGACATCATAATAGCCACTCCCTCAGTGTGCTCGTGGTTGGCGTCTGGGTGACAATATCAGAGTAGATTATTGATTCTCCAGTTGACAGTTTGGAGAGTCCACTCCCATTCCATCTGCTTTCGCAAATCCCAAGCACTTCGATGTTATACCTTCTCATCTCCTTTGCAATCTGGGCTGCCTTACTGGGTTCAAACATCGTGCGGACATTCCATGTCCCCACGTTTACTTTCGCTTTCATCGAGAGGAGAGAAGATACATCGGCCAATTGACTTCCCGAAGGCTTTCACCGACTAGCGTCATATCACCTCTCCTATGCCAGCGAGGAATAACTTTGTTTTCATTTTTTATATTTCGTTTGTGCTTTGAAGTTTCTTTAGCGGTTAGATTTGTTTTACGGGGTAGGGTTGCCAGCCTTATGCCCAACCTTTCCTCTTTACATGGGTTTAGGACGGGCTAGTAACTAGTGAACTAGTTAACCACGCGGGGTTAATAATGCGATATCCAATTACGCATGCATCCAATATCCAATATATCTTCACGAACTTCTATAAACCAATTGATCTCCTCGCACTTCCTTCTTAGTCTTATAGAACGGTTCCAGATCTATGAATTCCTATGCAGTATATCTATCCACTCGCCGGCCGTAGCTCCGGTTAGCCCGACGGGTGGTCGGGTGTTGATTTAAGTGGTAGGGAGTTTATGATTTTCCCAAGAACTGCGGTGTAGATGGGCTTCTAAGTTATCGAGTTGTCAGAAAGCCTTTCAGTCTGGTTGTAAAGAGACCGAAAATATGTCCAGCGAAATCATGGCGAGGAAGCGCGAAAAAAACAAGGTGAAAGGAAGCGGAAAGGAAGGGAAGGAAAAACCTAGATGGATTCAGCAATGGGGAAGCTTAAATAAATAAAGCATAATCATAGAGTCGAAGGGAAGAGAATGAGCAAGTAAGATTACAGAGCGGATTGTCGAATAGGAATTATGTCATTAGTCCTAGGTGTGGTAAGTGGAGGAGGCGTCCAACAGGGAGGTATAAGGTTAACTCAGGCTCGCAATGGTAGGGGCGGTACAAGAGATTCCGTATAATGTTGACTGTGCTGGGTTGTGTGGAATTAGTTGGTTGCATCAACCTAAACCTCATCCTTACTGGATGCGCGCTAACCGTGCGTCACCGTGTAGCTGTCGAAACTCCGTCTACACTTTGACGGGCGATTCTCTTTGGGCTACCGGGAGGATTCTAACAGTAGCCGTTTGCTAGGATTCCACCATCCGAATGACTTGGATTGCTTAGTACTTGTAAGTGGTTGTAAAGTTGCCAACTAACCTACGGTAGCTAATACAGCAAAGCCCTTGGTCTTTCAGCCTGTTCACAAGGGGTTTTGATGCATTCACACAGCACCCTTCGTTGCTCGCCTCGAAAGTTTCCCCAGGAGCTTCACACACCTCTCCAGGTACGGTGGCACAGTGACACTGTGGACCTCTGAGCATGGTCACATGCCGGTCTTGTACAGATTCAGGAAGAAGTCCTGAGTTGGGGCACCTAGTTATCTGCATATGCAGTGCAGTACTGCGTAAAATCTGGAGGCATCTCATGGACGCTTAAGGCTGGTGTCTAGCTTGTCAGTCGGCACTAGTCCAAGGTCTTTCTCTGCGGTGGAATGGGACTTTTTCATGCCACAAAGACAGTGGGATACTCTTCTAGAGTCGGGAGTGTGGAGAAACATGGTTTGTCGTTTGTCCATGTGAAACAACAGTTCTTTATTATTCATTCGGCGAGCTATCTGATGTCACTTTGCAGTACATTTGGTTCTATTTCGGATGTAGCAACTCCTATGGCTTAAAATCGTCAACATAGGGTGAGATCAAAGTGCTAAGACTC